TACGCTTGGACCCGTGAAGATCCGGGGTAGAATAGGTCTTCAGCAACCCATTCTTGTCATAAAAGGCGACTATGCTTGTCGTAAAAGGCGACTAACGGGATCGGGTGGTCAGGCTCGCTGACTTGGTTGACATATGTCATCGGTTCCCAATTGCGCAGATCGATGCTCATGCTGTTGATCACTGGATTGTCTGGTCCAGACTCGATTATTTACAGACCGCCGCCATATAGCTGGAATATTGCTGAGTGCGGCGTAAAACTAAACTCACTCACTCACTCACTACGCTTGGGAAAGGGTTTGGTTTAACGACACTTTGTAATCGAGAGTATTTCAGTTACATCACGGCGCGTCAGCTTAACGTGGGAGAAAATGTCGAGATGATGTATAGTCGCGAACGTCTACTACACTGATGACGCCGAAGACTACGTATATAGCGCAGGTAGCCTATGGCTCATGATCAGGGCGAATCTTGGATTCTAACCCAAAGATACATTTCCGGAACGACTAAGGGACAGAACTCTGCACGGCAAATTGCACATTCGTCACCACTGGCCCCTTTCCGTAACTTCCAATCGCTATTGTCCCAGAATAACACCAGTTGGTCACGAATGAAAATCGCGTTGTTTTGAAAGACTGGGCTCCCACTACCTCGTATCTAAGTGTGCCAAGTGCCCGCACTTCCCCAACCCCGTAGTCTATATACAGTGGAATCGCATGATGAAAACATAATCTCATGCCAGTTTCGGAAACCGTGAGTGAGTGAGTAAGTATGGTTTTACACCGCATTTATCAATATTTCAGCAATATCACTGCGGGGAACACCTGAAATGGGCTACACACATTTGAACCATGTGGGAAATTGAACCCGGTTTTCGGCGTGACGAGCGAGCGCTTTAACCACTAGGCCACCCCGCCCCTAATACAAGTGTTGACGCATCAAACTGATCTGACTTCTACCTTCTAACATGTCCCATGTCTCATATATCGTTCGAATATAAAATCAAACCAGACTATTAACGGTTGAAGATATGCACAATCATAAAAAAGAAAATAATTCAGCAACCTACTGTAAACTTCTCATCGGGGTCTACACAAGCTTGATGTTTTATTTATCAGCCTATTCCACTTATACATATGCATTCGTTTTGGCACATCATCAAGAGACTTAATAAGACTTGTATTCAAACGTCATAACACAACCTCAATCCTAACTGCTTTCATTATTACCCTTGCAAATGTCCATCACATCCAGGTTCGAGATGATGTTTACAGATGTTTAGCATTCTCTTTATATCTGCAAGCATGTCTCACGCTCGGTTTTCAATCGTAGATCGTTAGAACTTAAAATTGTTCCAGTTAACGAAAGCACTTAAGAAACACGAGTTTTAGTCTGATGGACAAATGTTTGAATGTGCTATTGATTCGAACCGACAGCATTCAATTTCAAATAGCCTCGCGTTTATGAACATGAGACATGGAGTGTTTTACATCATCCAATTTTGTAATGATGGGTTTATCTGAACACATTTGAAGAGGCAGAGAATATCAGCTATATTTAGACAGAATGGCATCCCTGGCGCAATGTTTACAGTGAATGAGTGGTTTCAAGTTTGAAGTCACATCAGCAGTATTTAAGTCATAACGTCACTAAAAACGTTCAGTTAATCTGTCTGGACTGACAAAATGCGCCCGTGGCCTTGTTTATTCGTTGTTGAAAGACGCACTGGGGGCGGTGGGGTAGTCTTGAGGTTAAAGCGTTGGCTCGTCACGTCGAAGACCCAGGTTCGATTCCCCACATGGGTACAACGAGTAAAAGCCCATTTCTGGTGTCTCCAGCCGTGATATTGCTGAAAACGGCATAAAACTAAACTTACTCACTCGAGCAGAAACTCCAGTTGCTGACGTCATGAGTAGCGAGTATGGTTTTATGTCGCTTTAAGCATTGTTCCAGCAATATCACTGCTGGGGACACCAGAAATTGATTTCACACATTGTACCCGTGTGGAGAATCGAACCCGGGCCTTCGGCGTGACGAGCGAACGCTTTAACCACTCGGCTACCCCACCGCCCCTCCACGAGTAGCGATAACATAGATGAGACAGGACAAGCATGGTTACTGATGACTGACTGAGGTTTTACGTCGCTTTTAGCAATATACCAGCAAGATCACGGTGTGGGGGGACATCAAAAGTGGCGTTTCTGATGAATTGCAACATGGATCTTGACGTAAAGCTGTATATGCACAGGTGGTTCCACAATTTGCTAAACAGAATTACTTCCCTTAGTCGTGACAGAATCCGATGATTATGTATAGCTTGTTTCACTTTGATGTCAACCCAATGCGCTGAAACGCCGTGTTACAACCGCGATTCTGTTCAAATAGTACTTCGTCGCGAATGCCAACACTAGGCATTTCTACTACAACAATATCATAGTTTCGCGTGGTTCCACAGCAGGTGAAATGTTGTCGTTCAAACATGGATATGGCTCATATTTACAATGATATCAACATGACTAGATACAAATATTCATGAAAATACTGGTGTGGGGAATATTCAAGTGTTGCACCATCTAGCATATATGCTGGCAAGAGTTTTGTTCCAAATGTGTTGAGAACGCACCATTTCACATACTAAGGGGTGGGGATGGGTTTGTTCGCGTCAAATAACTCGCATGTTCCCGCGAAAGGGGATGACAAATCAATTCTTTTACACATTTCTTTCAGTATACGTCCATCATCATCCACTGAAAAACATGAGAAAATATGTTTTTCTATTTTTGGGGTGGATGAAATCAAAGAAAATCATCCCCTCGTAGAATATGAAAAGGTCTGTCCGTTAACATTGTCAACGTCTTCACAACGACGTCGTAGTTACATCGTTTCATCTGGATCACCAACACATTGATGCAAAGTATCTTCCTGTGTGGTTGAACGTTTCTAACGGTAATAGTCTGGAATACAGAGGATCTGGAATAACAAGGTTTCGCTTTCACCCACAAACCCAGCGTACAGGATTTTATAAGTTTTTCACATTCAGTGTCAAAACAGGTTTCGACGGAAATGTTTTGTTCAAAATTCAGTTTTTACTTTACCTGTTCCAAAAGCTACATATAGATAACATTATGTTGACATCTTGTTATGACGTATTTGTAATCAGTGAGTAAGTGAGTGAGTTTAGTTTTACGCCGCACTAAGCAATATTCCAGCTATATGGCGGTTGTAATCAGTATAAAGGTAAAATGAAACGATGCTGCTAAATATGTTGGTGTCATTATCATGGAAGTTTTGCTGAAATAGTGAGTGAGTGACTTTGGTTTTATGCCGCTTTTAACAACATTCAAGCAGTATCATGGCGGGGGACATCAGGAATGGCCTTCACACACTGTGCCTATGTGGGGAATAGAACCCGGGTGTTCGGCGTGACGAGTGAACGCTTTAACCACAATCCCACCGTCCATTTTGACTGAAATAATGCAAACGGTGAACCTGTGGCCGCTGTGAGTCCCGAAAAAAGATCAATTTAAAAATCAGAAACGAGAAATGATAAACCGAGTTCAGCATTTTCAACCTAGTTCACTGAGGATACAAATGAAATTAAATTCTGTTCTGGTGAGTTACAAGAAGAATTCGTAGGTTGGCGATTGTTCCCCGTCTCTCCGTATGTTAACCAACAGTCACGTTTACAAAGAAACCCGTTCTTCGCGGGCTCCGTGATATGATCTGACAGTCAAACACGCAGAAATGCAATCTGGGTAAATCCGTGCATCACGTGATATAAAACGTGCGCCGTCATAGCAAAACCCCGTGCGGCACGTGATACGAGACATTGTATCCGGAAGCTTGGCTAAACTTCGTGCAGCACGTGATGCAAGCCATGTAGCCAGAAGCTTGGATAAACCTCGTGCAGCACGTGATGCAAAGCCATGTAGCCAGAAGCTTGGCTAAACCTCGTGCAGCACGTGATGCAAGCCATGTAGCCAGAAGCTTGGATAAACCTCGTGCCACACGTGATGCAAACCATGTAGCCAGAAGCTTGGATAAACTTCGTGCCGCACGTGATGCAAACCATGTAGCCAGAAGCTTGGATAAACTTCGTGCCGCACGTGATGCAAGCCATGTAGCCAGAAGCTTGGATAAACCTCGTGCCGCACGTGATGCAGGCCATGTAGCCAGAAGCTTGGCTAAACCTCGTGCAGCACGTGAAATAAGCCAGATGCACGGAAGCTTGGCAAGACCCGTGCAGCACATGAGGCAAACTTGTCACGCGCCCCTTTACGATTAAATCTGTTAACGATCGCAATACGAGACTGGTTTGTTCCCATGACATCAGTGAGTTTCGTGTTTTCCAACTGAACTGGACCAAAAATTCGTACTCAAAATTTCTAAAACAATTTGTCAACGAAGTTAATGTAGAGAAACCAAACCTACCCTTTTTCTTAATACACATGAAAAGAAACACATATGTTTATGTTAAACAAAAATTTACATATTGCATAAACCCTATCATGTAGAAAACATCGAACAAAGACAAGATTATTTACCTTGCAGTGTCAACTATTCTGTATACGGTATTGTGAGTTAGTGAGTGAGTTTATTTTTACGCCGCTTTTAGCAATATCACAGGTCAGGGACTCCAGGGGACACCAGAAATGGTCTTCACAAATTGTACCCACATGGGAATGGAACCCGGGTCTTAGGCGTGACGAACGAACACTTTAACCACTAGACAACCCCGCCGCCACACGGTATTATGAACTATTTAGGACTCCATCTTGATGATACCCTATCGAATGTTTTCCTGGATATCCAGTGCATTGAACGTGTCTGAGATCGTAGCACCACACGTGCTGAAAGTGAGAGCCCACCGAAAACGGCCATCAGTACCTCATAGGGCGCCTGCAGCGCCTCCGCTTGTGCAGCCCATTTTTGTTGTCCCCCGCCGTGATATTGGTGGAATATTGCTAAAAGCGGCGTAAAACCATACTCACTTCTTCTTGGCCTCGCTGGTGTCCCCCGCTTTGATAATGCTGGAATATTACTAAAGCGGCACAAAACTATACTCACTCACTGCTTTGTATGTATAAACAGATTGGGTAATAGGATGGGTGTCAGGACTATCAGGTTCCGTTCTAACGGTGTTTCGTGAACTTTATCGGTACTGGGCGTGGACTAAATATTCAGATGAGGCACACGGGTACACATGTGTATCATGCAACATTCCATCTCACACAACCTCACATTATGCCATTATCGTATAAATTCAAACAAACCACCATCACATCTTCACAACGTGAAACAGAACCTTCGCAGATCCAGTCGGTCCTGTCCGTCGCCACGTTTGTAATCCACACGAATCACGCAATCAGTTTCACAAATCGTCACTCCATCCGTTTAGGGCAGAAAAACGAATATTGAACTCCATCCCCGAATCCCGATTTTTATCATAAGGCCCTGACGTTGGTTTGAATCCGACGAGTTCTTCATCGAACAAATTGTCATATGTGGGATCGATGTCATCCACATTGGTTTCTTTTACATTATTTGCAGGTTTCTTAGGTTTTCGCACAATTGCATAATCATCGTCATTGATCGTATAATGTTCCACGCCATTGGGAACAGACAGAGTCCCGTTCTGTAAAACTAGTGGTTGTTCCTCTGGTGCGCTTCCGCTCCCCTTCTTCGCCTTCTCGTTGGACGCTCTGTTCGAGCGGATGGGAATGTCGTCGCTTGTTAGACTTGTGTAAGAGGCATATTGGTTGTACCCGTCGTTGGAGTCGTCGTCTTTGGGGTCCCTGAAGCTGGAGAAGCGTCCGCTGGTTCGTTTCTGGCCGTCCGTCGCGGACAGGTTGTGGACGGTGGCCACAGTGTGTTTTCCCTCGTCAGTTTGAGATCCTGGAGTGTGGATTTCTGTGACTTCGGAGGGGTTCGAGTTTTCAGCAATACTGTTATGTCGAACACCTTCAATTTGTGTCGTGTCATCGTTTTTCCACAAGGCTATCTTTTCGCTCGATTCAACCTTGTACTGACCTTTCTGGGCTATTCCACGATAACTGAAAGACAATGTAAAAATTGTGAATGTATACATATGGAAAAGAAGGTTATACAATATTGATTGGCATCCCTTGAGTAGACAAGGAGGTCATACATTTTCATGGACATTAAGCAAAATATATCATTATGGTGCCTCATAATATTCATGCCTTGCAATAATCTAACAAATATTAGTTTCTGTGAGAGGGCGGTTTCTTGAGCACCGCAGCTAACTGCGTGGAATTGTGTCCAACTAAATCACATTACCATCTCAAACTACCGGGTACCCATCAACTGATGAGAGAACAGAGACATATTCTGTGTGCGATCAGCTTCACCTTTGGCGTTAATACACTCACCCCAGATAACTGTGAATCCCTCTCTCACTTCATTCACTCGCACACTGAAGTTTGTGTGAACTGGCCTAAAGCTAATATCGCCTCTGAAGGTACTACTACATAGCTAAATACCCGTGAAGATCTGGGTTCAAATTGGTCTTCAGCAATCCATGCTTGTCGTAAGAGCATTGGCTGACCTGTCCCGTGAAATAGAAGTACAGATGTGAGTCAGTCTTGGAGAACCAATGTCATTGACGTCGGTTGTTCAGTATCCCTATTCAGAGTAAAGTGCATCAAATTATGCTCGAGATCATTAGATATAGAGGGGCGGTGGGGTAGCCTAGTGGTTAAAGCGATCGCTCGTCACGTCGAAGACCCGGGTTCCATTCCCCATATGGGTACATTGTGTAAATCCATTTCTGGCGTTCCCCACCGTGAAATTGCTGGAATATTGCTAAAAGCGGCGTAAAACTATACTCACTCACTCAGCCACCCTATAGAATGAAACCTTTCCTGAGAACACACTTGACCACAGAGAACCTTTTCTCGAATCGATGAGTGGATGAATTGCATCAAAATACTAAAAAATACCATACAACCTCATGATCCGCCTGTATGATGCGCGATCCTCAAGATCTCAGCTAATCATAAGAGCTGTCTCATAGATGTCTGTGTAGCAAGAACTGCCGCCTCTTGAGACGTACAGTCTCACCGTTCAGCGTGTGCGTCTCATTGCCAAATAACCAGTCAAGTCAAAGCTGTCTCAATGACAAAGGTTATGAGTATACATCCTCAAGGGATAACAGCCTAACGCATACGCCCTGACGATGGATAAGGTTAAGATCTATGTTTAAATCGCAATTCTACTATGTCTGAGACGACCATATTATTCTTGCTGCAAGGATCATTGGTCACTCGTGGTGAAGGGTTACGTTGGAGGGCCAGGTGGAGCAATGTCTCGAACCTGAGAGTCACGGAGGGACACGGAGACAAGGTAATTTACAATAGTGGGTCCCTAGATGAAGCTGCTGCTGATGATGTAGGTGTCATGGCTAGGGATGGAGACGGGCTTGAGATGGAGGCAAGCCCTCTCTGGAATAACTAACCACATGGGACCCGGACAATTATAGAGTCGAGTCGGGAAAAAAATATCGCGGTGGTCATTACTGGTCTCCGAATGGCCTTGGATATGCTTAGAGTAAAACTGCCAACGGAAATGATTTTTTGGGTCATGTTTTATTTCTTTTTTGTCTGCTGAGTCGGGCAGAACTTTTGTATCTTGGCTTGTTTTCAGAAGATTGAGTGAGTTTTGTTCAACGCCGTCTTCATGAACTATATCATCCTTTCTTTCACAATAAATGGAGGGTGGTGGGGTAGCCCAGTGGTTAAAGCGTTCGCTCGGCGAAGACCCGGGCTCGATTCCCCACTTGGTTACAATGTGTGAAGCCCATTTCTGGTGTCCCTGTCGTGATTTTGCTGGAATATTGTTAAAAGCGTCGTAAAACAGTACTCACTCACCCATTGCGACTAAAACTAACGCAAGTGACCTGGGCTAAAAAAACAACTCGTCCGATATAAACGTCAGTTTGTTATAAACAGTACTATATACACTTGCTAGTCGAGTGAGTGAGTTGGTCTGGTTTAACGCTATTTGAACTGTATTTTGGTTAAATCAGCTTCCCATGGGAGGGAATCCCGAAGTAATGAAGGTATTATAAACCCACGAGCAAGGAGTAACAAGACCAGAAGCTGGGACACGGTGAACTGCGACAATCGGATTCTGGTACGTCCACGGGACGCAACTCTGTACAGAGAAGTGCGATTATTCAGACGAAAGGGTAAGATTTTGTTAAGAGTACAATATTACCCTCTGTGGTTTTCCTTTCAATTATGATTGTTTGTTTGTGTTAACGCCGCTCTCAGACATATTCCAGCTATGTGTCGGCTTTCAGTAAAATATTCTGGACCAGATAACCCAGTGATCAACAGCATAAGCATCAATGCACGCAAATAATGTGTCCACCAAGCCAGCGAGCCTGACAACCCGATCCCATTAGTCGCCTCTTACGACAAGCATGGGTTAGTGAAGACCAGTAATAACACGGATCTTCACGTGTTGATGGGGTTGTATGGGATTTGTAAGTCATACATGGAACTGTCTTGTGAACTGTGTATTTCTGAAATACAGATGGTGGTGACATGGGGTTTAACGTCGTACTTGAGAATATTTCACTCATATGACGACGTGCATGCGTGTGTATGTGTATGAGCGGCTGCTTGTACTAGACCAGACCTAAGCTGGTTTTATAGTGCTAGCCCACTGAGATACCATGCCGCAGTGAAGCATGAATACCCTACTCATACACATTATACTGACTCCGAGCCGACCAGTGCTGTAGTACCCATTAATGCCGAGCGCAAGGCAGGGACCAACAAATACCATATTTTAACGTCTTTTGGTATGACGCGGCCGGGGATCGAACCCGCGACCCTCCGCTCTCCGGGCGGACGCTCTAACCACTACACCACGGAAGCGGTCTGCTATCTAGACTTTCCTCTTTAAAGGATAGAATTACTATACATTCATGGGCTTAGCATTCAGTACAGCCTTGGAGCAAGGCTACTCAACACCAAGCACTGCATTAAGAGAACCTGCTATCAAGACTTTCCTCTTTAAAGGATAGAATTACTATACATCCATGGGCTTAGCATTCAGTACAGCCTTGGAGCAAGGCTACTCAACACCAAGCACTGCATTGAGAGAACCTGCTATCAAGACTTGCCTCTTTAAAGGATAGAATTACTATACATCCATGGGCTTAGCATTCAGTACAGCCTTGGAGCAAGGCTACTCAACACACAGCACTGCATGGAGAGAACCTGCTATCAAGACTTGCCTCTTTAAAGGATAGAATTACTATACATCCATGGGCTTAGCATTCAGTACAGCCTTGGAGCAAGGCTACTCAACACCAAGCACTGCATTGAGAGAACCTGCTATCAAGATTTGCCTCTTTAAAGGATAGAATTACTATACATCCATGGGCTTAGCATTCAGTACAGTCTTGGAGCAAGGCTACTCAACACACAGCACTGCATTGAGAGAACCTGCTATCAAGACTTTCCTCTTTAAAGGATAGAATTACTATACATCCATGGGCTTAGCATTCAGTACAGTCTTGGAGCAAGGCTACTCAACACACAGCACTGCATTGAGAGAACCTGCTATCAAGACTTTCCTCTTTAAAGGATAGAATTACTATACATTCATGTGCTTAGCATTCAGTACAGCCTTGGAGCAAGGCTACTGAACACACAGCACTGCATGGAGAGAACCTGCTATCAAGACTTTCCTCTTTAAAGGATAGAATTACTATACATCCATGGGCTTAGCATTCAGTACAGCCTTGGAGCAAGGCTACTCAACACACAGCACTGCATTGAGAGAACCTGCTATCAAGACTTTCCTCTTTAAAGGATAGAATTACTATACATTCATGTGCTTAGCATTCAGTACAGCCTTGGAGCAAGGCTACTGAACACACAGCACTGCATGGAGAGAACCTGCTATCAAGACTTTCCTCTTTAAAGGATAGAATTACTATACATTCATGTGCTTAGCATTCAGTACAGCCTTGGAGCAAGGCTACTAAACACACAGCACTGCATGGAGAGAACCTGCTATCAAGACTTGCCTCTTTAAAGGATAGAATTACTATACAGCCATGTGCTTAGCATTCAGTACAGACTTGGAGCAAGGCTACTAAACACACAACACTGTTGGAGAGGACCGCTTATGTAGACTTGCCTCTTTAAAGGATAGAATTACTATACATCCATGGGCTTAGCATTCAGTACAGTCTTGGAGCAAGGCCACTCAACACACAGCACTGCATTGAGAGAACCTGCTATCAAGACTTTCCTCTTTAAAGGATAGAATTACTATACATTCATGTGCTTAGCATTCAGTACAGCCTTGGAGCAAGGCTACTGAACACACAGCACTGCATGGAGAGAACCTGCTATCAAGACTTTCCTCTTTAAAGGATAGAATTACTATACATTCATGTGCTTAGCATTCAGTACAGCCTTGGAGCAAGGCTACTCAACACACAGCACTGCATGGAGAGAACCTGCTATCAAGACTTGCCTCTTTAAAGGATAGAATTACTATACAGCCATGTGCTTAGCATTCAGTACAGACTTGGAGCAAGGCTACTAAACACACAGCACTGCATGGAGAGAACCTGCTATCAAGACTTTCCTCTTTAAAGGATAGAATTACTATACAGCCATGTGCTTAGCATTCAGTACAGCCTTGGAGCAAGGCTACTAAACACACAGCACTGCATGGAGAGAACCTGCTATAAAGACTTGCCTCTTTAAAGGATAGAATTACTATACATCCATGGGCTTAGCATTCAGTACAGCCTTGGAGCAAGGCTACTCAACACACAACACTGCATGGAGAGATCACCTGCTATCAAGACTTTCCTCTTTAAAGGATAGAATTACTATACATCCATGGGCTTAGCATTCAGTACAGCCTTGGAGCAAGGCTACTAAACACACAGCACTGCATGGAGAGAACCTGCTATAAAGACTTGCCTCTTTAAAGGATAGAATTACTATACATTCATGGGCTTAGCATTCAGTACAGCCTACAAGCATGACTACATATTCACTTCCTCCTTATAATAAAGAAGTTGACATCAATAAATACCCTAACACTTATCTAATGCTTGAGTTAGTGAGTCTTGTTTGGTCCAGCTAATTAGTACTTAAGTTATACCCGATCATGTTAGCTTGTGCAACAGAAGATTGGAGTAATGAAGGTCTTTGTTAAACTCAAGCCTGAAGACATAATCAGGGCGATCATTGGATCCTGGCACGCTCAAGGGAAGCAACTCTGCAAAGCGACATGTGGCCCCTCAGACAAATACATAGCCTGTGACCGCTCTCTGTTCTGAAATCTTCCGTTCACGTATATCCAGACACATGAAGACCGTCAGCCTTTGGTAAAAACGTAGAGACATGCCATTGAATCGCCAGAACACATTGATCTGCCAAGGTCTGCCCATAGGTACCCGATAGAAAGAATGCGCTTCTCAGTGGAAAGGGATGTGAAACATTTTTAAGGGAAATCTGCCAATGACGGAACATTTGAAGGGACTCACCAGACAATGACGAAACATTATAAGGGACTCGCCAGACAATGACGAAACATTTTAAGGGTCTCACCTGACAATGACGAACCATTTTTAAGGGTCTCACCTGACAATGACGAAACATTATAAGGGACTCACCTGACAATGACGAACCATTTTTTAAGGGACTCACCTGACAATGACGAACACTAGAGCGATGAGCAGAGCGAGGATGACAATGCCGAAAAAGACGTACAAGATCACAAGCTCTGGAACCAGAAATCAAAGTATTAAGCACGGCGTGAGCTAATGGCGACATCGGGAAGCCCCTTTAAGATAGAAATGACTGACTGTGCTGATATTAACGCTATTCGGAACAATTCAGGCATATTATAATTATTGCTGACAGGATCCTAGCATGCTAATGGATATTACTCGATACACATGCCATGTTGTGATGTCTGTTGATTGCAAAATGTTATACACAAAAAATGAGCATGTATTTACAAAACCCAACATCTCTATACACACACTAAGAGCCCTGAGTGTATCGGCAAATGAACCAGCCAGTTGAAGTTACACTTAAATGCACGACCACCCGCTCTGACTGGGATCGGTATCCCGGCTGCTTCGTTTCGAGGGAAGTAAACCGAAGTACAAAATATTGCACTTTTGATTTGCGATTGTACGCTTATAATTTTGTTTATTTGTTTTTTCATCATCAGCGATGTATATCATATGTCATGAATAAATGATAATTGTGTTTTAATTATGTTTCTTTTTTTGGTTGCTTTAACCAAATTAGCGAGCCTGACCACCGGATCCCGTTAGTCGCCTCGTACGACAAGCATGGGTTGCTGAAGACAAATTGTAACCCGGATCTGCACGGGTATGCTGGAAGGAGACCAGGGAGAGTTAATAAATAATAATAAATGCATATTTATAATGCGCCCCTTCCACACCCTAAGGCATGCTCAAAGCGCTTCAGAATATTTACACTGGAGTATTTACAGATGAAGTTATACATAATATACTGAGAAAAGGTGGGTTTTAAGTCTGGACTTAAACATGTCAATTGTGTCAGAGTTCAGACCAATGTGTACTCACAACTCATCCCTCAAACGATGTGTGACTGAGTTTAGTTTTACGCCGCACTCAGCAATATTCCAGCTATATGACGGCGGTCTGTAAATAATCGAGTCTCGACCAGACAATCCATGACCAGTGATCAACAGCATGAGCATCGATCTGCGCAATTGGGAACCGATGACGTGTCAACCAAGTCAGCGAGCCTGACCACCCGATCCCGCTCAAACGATGAGAATGGTTAGGATGGGATGGGATGGGTGTGGGTGGCGGTAGTGGTGGGGGTGAGGAGTGGGTGTGGTGGGGAGAGTGAGCGGTCCCTGGGAAAAACCTGGGCCAGGGGTCAGGTCTTGACATGACTGACTGACTGAGTTTGGTTTTACGCCGCTTTTAGCAATATTCGAGCAACATCACGGCGGGGGACACCAGAAATGGGCTTCACACATTGTACCCCACCGCCCCTTGATATGAAGACATATGCATATTAATAAACAATGATTTAATTTCTAAAAGAAGTTTGATGGTGGTGGTTGATGGCATTGGTAAGGGTGGTGGCTGCGGTGGTGTGTGTGTGATTGTGCTCGCGCGCGTGTGTGTGTGTATGCGGAATGCTGATGTCCGGATTGACGACCTCCAAACCCAACAGGACTACACTACACATCGACCTTATTCAGGGAGATCAAGAAACGCCGCATACTTTAACCAGTGACGTATCGACAACTGTATAATGGCCATGTAGATGAATCCTCGACTTTTAAACCAGTCTTTGAATAGCTGTCAACTGTCGGTTCAAGATTGATCACGTAGACAGCCGCTAAATACTACTCACTCATCATTTGGCATTAAACATGCTGAAGTGAGACCAGTTTGCATAAAACATAAGGCTGGATGCTTCACCGTGTAGGGTTTCATGTCGGTCGGTGGAACAGGCATCATACCGAACAGTTTCATCACGGACTGATTGTTACCTCCATCGAATCCTATTTCAAATTACTTTTAAATATCTTTCATGCAGATAGACATTGATTTATCGTTAGTCTCGGCATGCCCGTTTACATGTCAAATAAACGCATCGCCGATCCTTATTACAGGATTGATTCGCCAATACGAATAACAGTTGGGCATCGTTGAGATACAGGTGGGTTGGAAGCAAATCGAAGATCCTGTGCGTTGGTCTGTATTCTGAGAACATTACAGAAAAAATACCTGATCGGTTTGAGATTTATGTGCAATAACGGAGCATGTGTGACGCAATCTTCCAAGGGGCAGCAATTCGCAATATAGCCTTACATGATTGTAGTGGTATGATGCAGGCACGCTCCCGTTCTGAAATACTGTTCAAAGCGGCGTAAAATTATATCACTCACATATGTTATATGCCACATCATCTGTGTGACCGCGATGATGTTGCGGGAGCATTGCGTAAAACTAAACTCACTCACTCACTCTTCTGTGTGAATCGGGCGGTGGGGTAGTCTAGTGGTTAAAACGTTCGCTCGTCACGCTGAAAGACCCGGTTTCGATTTCAAATATGGGTACAATGTGTGAAGCCCATTTCTGGTGTCCCTGCCGTGACATTGCTGGAATATTGCTAAAAGCAACGTAAAACCACGCTCACTCACTTTGTGTGAACCTTTAGCTTTTATGATTTTTAGTTCGTAAATGGCTACATCCCGAAATGGCATTCGTCACCGCTCGCCCCTTCCCGTAACCTCCAAGAAGATCAGTATTCGTCATGTCCCGGAATAATACGAGTGGTCACGAATGTTCGAAATGGGCTATTCGTGACCACTCGTGTTATCTCGGAACAAGCCAAAATACCCAAGAACATCGGTATTTGGCTTGTCCCGGAATGACACGAGTGGGTCACGAATGCGATCTTCTTGTAGGTTACGGAAAGGGGCGAGTGGTGACGAATGATTCCAGTGGTAACGAAAGACTAGACCCGACTTGTAAAACTTCCAAAAAGGGGTCTGAATGACAGTGGAGGGATGACCCAGGATTATTTCCAGTATGTACCGAACTGATTAGAGCTATTTTATCTTGCAAAAACTGCTGACACGCCAACAAACGCAACATCAATTTAAGCGGCGTCTCATTGACTGGGATCGTAAGATACACAAGTAACACTTCCGATTGAGTTCAGTCGCCAAGAAAATGACACATGTCGTTACACTGCGAACATAATTACCGGCACTGCGAGACATGCCGAGATGTTCGGCAAAACAGACCGGATGTTCACAGTCAGAATCCATCGGTAAACCTTTCACACTAACATTACAGAAAGCTGACCCGATTGTGACCCGATAGCGATATCTTAGGGGGCGGTAGTCTACATACAAGGCGAATGTCTTGGTTGTTAAACGCTCATTCAGAAGACAAAACTTATCCTGGTATCAACAGCATCGTCGGATACTGACATGGGTGAGTGAGTGAGTGAGTGAGTGAGGGTGATTTGGGTGAATAATATGAGGTCTGGATCCTGCTGGAAGGAGACCTGCTGGAAGGACACCTGCTGGAAGGAGACCACTGACTACTCACAACTCAAACGTTGAGAAGAGATGAGATGGGTGTGGTTGGTGGTAGTGGTGGGGTTGGGGTGGATGTGGTGCGGAGAGTGAGCGGTCCCAGGGAAAAACTGGGACAGGGGTGAGGTCATGACATGAAAACATATTCATATTAATGAATATTGAGTAGATGAAGGTGAGTGAGTGAAGGTGATTGGGTGAGTGAGTGCGTGCGTGAGTAAGGGTGAGTGACTGACTGAGTGAGTAAGTATGTGGTTGAGTGAGTGGTTGAGTGAGTGAGTGAGAGAGTGGTTGAGTGAGTGAGTGAGTGGGTGACTGAGTGAGTGACTGACTGAGTGAGTAAGTAAGTATGTGGTTGAGTGAGTGAGTTAGTGGTTGAGTGAGTGAGTGAGTGGGTGAGTGAGTGAGTGACTGACTGAGTGAGTAAGTAAGTATGTTGTTGAGTGAGTGAGTGGTTGAGTGAGTGAGTGAGTGGTTGGTTGAGTGAGTGAGTGAAAGGTAGCGGTGTCAGCAATATTCCAGCTATATCACGATATATGATTCACGAAAGATATGTCCGTTTGTTTCATATTCAATGTCACAATCAGCAACACTATCGGTAAGCGACGACGGCCTGTAAATGACAGAGGCAACCCGTGGTTAACATTACGAGCAACGACCAACGACGGATTCCTCCTATGGGAATATGTTGCAGCTAAATAAGACAAAATGTGACGAAACGTTGTTGAAAGCCGCAGTCAACAACATTACGGCTACATCGTATTGCGACGTCGGGTACGACGACAAGCAATCAGCCCAGACAACCGATCCTTTCAGTCGCCTCGAAACAGAACCATCATTTGCAGCGGACCAATTCGAACCTGCAAGACCCATGGGTATTACGATGTAAGCTCGATTGGTGTCGGTGCCTTTGAACTCCAACGTCATGGGCTTCTGATTCTAATATATTAGGTTTTAAAACAGACAGGATGTACACTAAGTTGTGTTTCTTTCTTTGAAGTCACCGTAATGAGATCAACCCACAGACAATAAAAGGTCATGAGGACATAGATCTTTCAAATTAATTACGTCTCTGCGAGTATAAACATCTACTCAGTATATTCCTTGTTTGTCTAGAACATTCTTCTCGGTTTAATTATCTCGAATTTAATCCTCTTTTATCAAATAGAAAACTACATGGAATAAGAGCACATTTCTTGACCGGTAAATCACTGGGTGTTTAATTGTCTCAGATATTAATCTTGAATGCAAATACATTTCTGGGTATATACGCTCTTTTCCCGCCATAAATTTATATACTGAGAGACAAAAACCCAGCTATATCTCTCTGATGATTTTATTGTACGCTTGATTTTCAAACAAAAATTAATCTTAGGTTCTCGATATAATATAAAACAAAATTACACAATTTGTGAATCCGAATTCAAACAGAACATGAAACTCATGAACCAATTCAGACAATGACCTACTTTTCAGTCGATCCAAATTTTCTTGTGTGAAAGCGAAAAGAGACACTACTAAATACCATGCTTACACGAAAATGCAATTCCTTGTTTCAAAAGAAAATGGTACTTACAAATGAATTTTAATTTAAACTTTAAAAAAGTCGTATTTCTATATTTTATGACGAGGTTTAGACAGCATGATGTCAAGTA